GTTAAATAACTGACTTTATATCGTTAAATAACTGACTTTATATTGTTAAATAACTGACTTTATATTGTTAAATAACTGACTTTATTTGTTAAATAACTGACTTTATATTGTTAAATAACTGACTTTAATATTGTTAAATAACTGACTTTAATATTGTTAAATAACCTGACTTTATATTGTTAAATAACTGACTTTATATTGTTAAATAGCTGACTTTATATTGTTAAATAGCTGACTTTATATTGTTAAATACCTGACTTTATATTGTTAAATACCTGACATTATATTGTTAAATACCTGACTTTATATTGTTAAATACCTGACTTTATATTGTTAATTAGCTCACTTTATATTGTTAATACCTGACTATATTTTTGAATAGGTGATTTTATATTGTTAAATACCTGACTTTATATTGTTAATTAGCTGACTTTATATTATTAATTAGCTGACTTTATATTGTTAATACCTGACTTTATATTGTTAATTAGCTGGCTTTATATTGTTAATACCTGACTGTATTTTTGAATAGGTGATTTTATATTGTTAAATACCTGACTTTATATTGTTAATTAGCTGACTTTATATTATTAATTAGCTGACTTTATATTGTTAATACCTGACTTTATATTGTTAATTAGCTGGCTTTATATTGTTAATACCTGACTGTATTTTTGAATAGGTGATTTGATATTGTTAAATACCAGACTTTATATTGTTAAATAACTGACTTTATATTGTTAAATAACTGACTTTATTTGTTAAATAGCTGACTTTATTTGTTAAATAGCTGACTTTATATTGTTAAATACCTGACTTTATATTGTTAAATACCTGAATTTATATTGTTAATTAGCTGACTTTATATTGTTAATACCTGACTTTATATTGTTAATTAGCTGGCTTTATATTGTTAATACCTGACTGTATTTTTGAATAGGTGATTTGATATTGTTAAATAGCTGACTTTATATTGTTAAATACCTGACTTTATATTGTTATATAGCTGATTTTATATTGTTAAATACCTGACTTTATATTGTTAAACAGCTGACTTTATATTGTTAAATACCAGACTTTATATTGTTAAATACCTGACTTTATATTGTTATTTAGCTGACTTTATATGTT